TGGTTTGAGGATTCATTGGATATCATTATTAAAATGTATAACTATAACTCGGAGGAGAAGGCTACTTATAATACTATTAAATGAAACAATCCAAAAAAGCATTTTTAAAATTTTTTTTTCCTGGTGTAGAGACATTGACTTTGAAAAATGGTCCTCTTCATATCCCAGAGTGAAAACTGACCATATTATTGTCTGCATAGGTATTTAACCTCTGACGTTCACAACTGAAGAAGGAATACCCTTGCTAAATCAAAAAAACAAGATTAACTAGAGGCTCTAAAGAGCCTGTGTCGCTCACCTTGGTCTATGTGCATATTAAACAAAGGACACAGATGGATTCATGACAAAATTGTGTTTTGGTGATGGTGATGTGTTTGTAGATCTTACTTTACTGAATATTCTTGCTCCTTACTATTATCTCTATCTATAATGAACTTGGCCCGGTAGTTACAGTGGAAAATACTTTTAAAAATTAACAAAAATTTACAAAATTTATGAAAGTTGTAAAAAATTGACTATAAAGGGCAATAACTCCTTAAGGGGTCAATTGACAATTTTGGTCATGTTGCCTTATTTGTAGATCTTACTTTGCTGAACATTATTGCTGTTTACAGTTTATCTCTATCTATAATAATATTCAAGATAATAACCAAAAACGGAAAAATTTCCTTAAAATTACCAATTCAGGGGCAGCAACCCAACAACGGGTTGCCTGATTGGTCTGAAAATTTCAGGGCAGATAGATCTTGACCTAATGAACAATTTTATACTCATCAGATTTGCTCTAAATGCTTTGGTTTCAGAGATATGAGCCAAAAACTGCATTTTACCCTATGTACTATTTTTTAGCCATGTCGGCCATCTTGGTTCGCGGGCGGGGTCATTGGACACATTTTTTAAACTAGATACCCTAATGATGATTGTGGACAAGTTTGGTTAAATTTGTCTTAGTAGTTTCAGAGAAGATTTTTGTAAAAGATTACAAAAATTTACGAAAAATGGTTAAAAATTGACTATAAAGGGCAATAACTCCTTAAGGGGTCAACTGACCATTTTGGTCAAGTTGACTTATTTGTAGATCTTACTTTGCTGAACATTATTGCTGTTTACAGTTTACCTCTATCTATAATAATATTCAAGATAATAACCAATAAACTGCTTCGCTGAGCGAAGCTAGATACGCCCGCAGAGGTCCGACCCTGAACAGTTGGGGCAGAAATGGACACAATATTCAAGCTTGATTCAGGTCTGAATTTGGATTGTAATTAAATATTTGACATATTATAGGTTTCTGAATAAATGTATTCAAAGAACTTAAATTGGTTATATGAATTGAATTTATATTCAATTAAAAATTTCTTGCTGTTGTGCAACACTTAGTAAATCTGTTGTCAAGACTATAAACAAATAAAGTTCAATTAATTCTCAATGCCATATTAGAAATTTATGAAAATAAAAAGGGAGCTTACATCAATAGATATAAACAATTCACCAAAGTTTCATAAGAATTGGTGACAGCATTTTTGAGTTATTGTCTGAAAACTGGAAAATCACCCTTTTTTTAATGAATAAAACCCCATAACTCAGAAATGTTAAATGTAAAATTTATAAAATTCTAAAGAGAGTTTACATCAATACATACAAACAATTCACCAAAGTTTCATAAGAATTGCTGAAAGCATTTTTGAGTTTTTGTCCGAAAACTGAAAAATCCCCCCTTTTTTTTATGGATAAAACCCTGTAACTCGGAAATGTAAAATCTAAAATTTATAAAAATCAAAAGAGAGCTCATGTTAATAGATATAAACAATTCACCACAATTTCTTGCAAGTTGGTGAAAGCATTCTTGACTTATTGTCCGAAAACTGGAAAATCCCCCTTTTTTTAATGAATAAAACCCCATAACTCGGAAACGTAAAATCTAAATTTTATAAAAAACGAAAGGGAGCTCACGTCAATAGATATAAACAATTCACCAAAGTTTTATGCAAATTGGTTAAAGCATTCTTGAGTTAATGTCCGACATGTTGACGACGGACAGACGGACAGACAGACGGACGGACAGACGGACAACGGTATACCATAATACGTCCCGTAAACGGGCGTATAAAAACTGCAAAATTTCCTTAAAATTACCAATTCAGGGGCAGCAACCCAACAACGGGTTGTCCGATTCATCTGAAAATTTCAGGGCAGATAGATCTTGACCTGATAAACAATTTTACCCCATGTCAGATTTGCTCTAAATGCTTTGGTTTCAGAGATATAAGCCAAAATCTACATTTTACCCCTATGTTCTATTTTTAGCCATGTCGGCCATCTTGGTTTGCGGGCGGGGTCATTGGACACATTTTTTAAACTAGATACCCCAATAATGATTGTGGCCAAGTTTGGTCAAATTTGGCCCAGTAGTTTCAGAGGAGAAGATTTTTGTAAAAGTTTACGGACGACGGACGCAAAGTGATGAGAAAAGCTCACTTGACCTTTCAGGTCAGGTGAGCTAAAAATGTCAGAACAAAAGTATAATCCAACAGGCAAATCTTTATATCATTTTGTTACACACTATTTCACTTAAATTCATCTTATCATCCAAGAGCTAATGATACTTCTCTTCTACATAATATGAATGTCAATTTGAATTAAAACTTGTGATAATGATGATGATGATAGATGGCTGCTTAACAACCAGCGGCAAATTAATATGCATATTCTGGATGAGAACATGTTAATGTAATATGAAATTTAGCCGAGCTTTGTACTAGACTGACACGCTGAGCCAGATTGTGATGAATGCACATCTATATATCTGTCTAGTGTATAGAGTACCATTATAACTACCGGTAGAGAATTGTGATGGAAATCATCACAGAGGGCCCTATCAATTAAATAAGGAAATTGTGATGCAAACACTCAAACAAGTTTTTAGGAGTATTCTTTTAAAAATGTTTATAACAAAAAAATAACTAATTTACTGATGCACCATTTATTCATTCCTAATCTCTGAGGTGTTAACTGGAGAGTAATTTGTGTGTACACATGCAAAGGGTGACAATAGGTTCTCGACCATGAATTTCAATGTAGTCTTCCTTGTACAAGACAAACCTTCTAGAAGGGATGAATAATCATGCCAAGTTACATTACCTTAAGGTTTTTTGAAAGTAAGAGAGCAGAAACAAGTTGTGGTTGACAAATGCAAGCACAAACTCATTGCTAGAGGCCTTCCACAAATTAATTGGCAGGACCCATTTAATCAAACCATGCAGGAGAGGTTATTCTTCCAAACTAATGGATAGATAAAACAGGTGGAGCAACACTGTAATTGATATGCACCTTATAAAGTTTGCAAATTTTTTTATATTTTCTTCAGGAGAATTAACATTTTGAATGACATTTATTTACACATGATCAATACAGTATTACAAAATATAGAAGATATTTACAATGATTTCTCCCTTTTATCATTGCCTTAAAAAATTCAACATTAAAAGTAAAAAGAATGGTTTGTCATATATCATGCTGCAGAAGCTGTCTGAACATTTATCCATATACATTATTACATTAGACACAGCAGCATTCATCTAGCAAATGCTGTATTATGGCATTGACTACCAATACCTTGTGCACTAAATAATTCACACTTGTTCATATAGTTTTATGGCATTTATGGGTGAATGATGAAAATATCAAGATGATAAAACAAGTCCTAAATTTCAATCTTTATCTCCATTCTCTTCTGGGGATTTTGATCGTGACTTTGAAGCCTCTTTACGGTCTACACTGGGACTTCTGGATTTACTTCTACTTCTACTACGACTTCTGCTTCTTGAACTTTTACTCCTACTACGACTCCTGCTCCGACTTCTGCTTCCACTTCTTGACCTTCTTCCTCTCGACCTGGATCTGCTTCTACTTGGAGATCTTGATCTTAAATAAATTGAATCTGTGGTTAACTCTTTACTCACAGGCAACATATTAAATTTGTGAGAATACTTTTAAGTCAAAATGAGTAACAAGTGAATCATTACACATTGGGTATGATTGTCTTCAGTAATTTCAGACCCGAAAGACGGTCATCATTTTCACTGGTTTGAATACTTAATTCATTAAATATTTTATAGCAATGTGTACTTCACTATATCTTGTGTAAACCATAAAAAAGATGACCAGATTCATCAAAAATACTGGTCATCTGCCAACAACAAACTACTACAAATATAAAAGACGTACAAGCAAAACATAGTTCAGAAAGCCTATATTGATGGTGTGCCGAAAATTTGGATTTAGGTAACCCCCCATTATTTTAACCTATCGATGCAATGTCTTAAAATTGTTACATACAATCAATAAACTGCTTCGCCAAGCGCAGCTGGATACGACCGCAGAGGTCCAATTCTGAACAGTTGGGACAAATATGGACACAATATTCAAGCTTGATACAGGTCTGAATTTGGATTGTTATTAAATATTTGACACATTATAGGTTTCTGACACAGAATAAATCTAGTCAAAGAACTTGATATTGGTTATATGATTTGAATTAATATTCAATTGAAGATTTCTTGCTGTTGTGCAATACACTGTGCCGTTGCGCAATACTTAATAAATCTGTTTTCAGACTATATACAAAGAATTAGCAAAATAAATTGTTACCCCTAATTTTTCTTTGGAAAATTGACAATTTCTAAAATCTTGAGGGAAAAAAAATTGACCCGACCCCTTTCCTTTCCAAAATAAAATGCTCCGCTGGGTGCAGCTTGATACGACTGCAGAGGTCGAACTCTGAACAGTTGGGGCAAGTATGGACACAAAATTCAAGCTTGATACAGCACTGAATTTGGATTGTGATTAAATATGACACAGCATAGGTTTCTGACACAGGATGAATATGGTCTAAGAACTTAAAAAATTTTAATTTACCTATTCAAACCATATCATTATTATTTGCTTTTATATATAAATCAGAAATAACCAATTTTAAATGGAAAATTTTAAAGACCCCCCCCCCCCAATTTTTTGAACCCCCTTATGATTCATCACCTCCAAACTCAATCCCAGCCTTCCCTTTGTGATATAGTACCTTGCAGTACAATTTCAGAGAGATCCATATACTTGAACACAAGTTATTGTCTGGAAACTAGAAAAATGCTTGTTTTTTGGCCCCTTATTCCTAAACATTTAGGGCAATTACCCCCAAACTCAAACCCTGCTTTCCCTTTGTGATATGGAACCTTGTAGTACAATTTCATAGAGATCCATACTCTAATACACAAGTTATGTCTGGAAGTTACAAAAATGCTTATTTTTGGCTCCTTTTTGGCCCCTAATTCCTCAACTGTTGGTACCATAACCCCCAAAATCAATCCCAACCTTCCTTTTGTGGTATTGAACCTTATGGTAAAAATTCATAGAGTTCCATTCACTTTAACTAAAGTTAGAGTGCGAAAACCCATGTGTCCTCGGACGAAGACGACGACACCAACGTCATACCAATATACAAGCGGTCGTATAAAAATCTTTTTTGAACCCTAATTCCTGAACAGTTTAGGCAATTACTCCCAAAATGTATCCCAACCTTCTACCTGTGGTTTGAACCTTGTGGTACAATTTCAGAGCTATCAAAATACTTATAGACAAGTTATTGTCCTGAAACTAGAATGCTTGTTTTGGGCCCCTTTTTGGCCCCCAATTCCTAAACGGTTGGGACCATCACCCCAAAAAACAATCCCAACCTTCCTTTTGTGGTATTGAACCTTTTCAGTAAATTTCATAGAGATCCATACACTTAAACTAAAGTTATTGTCTGGAAAACAAATGTCTTCGGAAGACGACATGATAGCAATATATGATTTTTTGAGGTCGTATTAAAAACCTGAATAATACAGCTACCAACAGGATGACTTATAGCTTGAACAATGAAATAGAAACTGAAGGCGTCATGTAAATGATAATATTAATCAAAAATCTGTATTTGTCACTTGACAATCTAAAATAAAATGCTCCGCAGGCCGCAGCTAATACGACCGCAGAGGTCGAACCCTGAACAGTTGGGGCAAGTATGGACACAACATTCAAGCTTGATACAGCTTTGCATTTGGATTGTGATTAAATATTTGACACAGCATAGGTTTCTGACACAGAATGAATGTGGTCTAAGAACTTAAAATTTTTAAATTGGACATTCACCTATTATGGTCCAATATCCAAAATCTAAATACATGGTTAGATTCAGCATATCAAAGAACCCCAAGAATTCAATTTTTGATGAAATCAAACAAAGTTTAATTTTGGACCCTTTCGACCTCAATGTGGACAAAGTTGATAAAGGGGCCCAAAAATCAAAAATCTAAATACATGGTTACATTCAGCATATCAAAGAACCCAATATATTCAATTTTTGTTGAAATCAAACAAAGTTTAATTTTGGACCCCGATTTAGACCAACTTGAAAACTGGGCCCATAATCAAAAATCTAAATACATGTTTAGATTCAGCATATCAAAGAACCCTAAGAATTCAATTTTTGTTAAAATCAAACTAAGTTTAATTTTGGACCCTTTGGACCTTAATGTAGACCAATTTGAAAACGGAACCAAAAATTAAGAATCTAAATACACGGTTAGAATCGGCATATCAAAGAACCCCAATAATTCAATTTTTGATGAAATCAAACAAAGTTTAATTTTGGACCCTTTGGACCTCAATGTGGACCAATTTAAAAATGGGGCCCAAAATCCAAAAACTAAATACACGGTTAGATTCAGCATATTAAAGAACCCCAAGAATTCAAGAATAAAACCCCATTGAAATTGGTCAAGAAATAAGCAATTTATACAAAGTATCTTCTTTTGCACAATACTGTGCAATTAAATATTTCTTGCTATTGCGCAATACTGTACAATTGACAATTTCTTGCTATTGCGCAATATTGTGCTATTGGATATTTCTTGCTATTGCGCAATACTGTGCAATGGTAATTTCTTGCTATTGCGCAATACTGTGCAATTGAAGATTTCTTGCTATTGTGCAATACTGTGCAATTGAAAATTTCTTGCTATTGCACAATACTTATATAATAATTTACACATCCTGTTTGGTGTGTATCTCCTACCATATCATTATTATTTGCTTTTAAATATAAATCAGAAATATCCAACTAATAAACTGCTTCGCTGAGCGCAGCTGGATACGCCCGCAGAGGTCTAACCCTGAACAGTTGGGGCAAAAATGGACACAATATTCAAGCTTGATACAGGTCTGAATTTGGATTGTAACTAAATATTTGACATACATCTATTATAGGTTTCTGAATAAATGTAGTCAAAGAACTTGAAGTTGGTTATATGAATTGAATTTATATTCAATTAAAGATTTCTTGCTGTTGTGCAATACACTGTGCTGTTGCGCAATACTTAGTAAATCTGTTGTCAGACTATAAACAAATAAAATTTATAAAATTCTAAAGGGAGCTTACATCAATAGATATAAACAGTTCACCAAAGTTTCATACGAATTGCTGAAAGCATTTTTGAGTTTTTGTCTGAAAACTGGAAAATCCCCCCTTTTTTAATGAATAAACCCCATAATTCGGAAATGTAAAATCAAAATTTATAAAATTCTTAAGGGAGCTTACATCAATAGATATCAACAATTCATCAAAGTTTCATGAGAACTGCTGAAAGCATTTTTGAGTTATGGTCCGAAAACTGGAAAATCCCCCTTTTTTTTATGAATAAAACCCCATAACTCGGAAACGTAAAATCTAAAATTTATAAAAATCCAAAGGGAGCTATGTCAATAGATATAAACAATTAACCAAAATTTCTTGCAAGTTGGTGAAAGCATTCTTGAGTTATTGTCCGAAAACTGGAAAATCCCCCTTTTTTTAATGAATAAAACCCCATAACTCGGAAACGTAAAATCTAAAATTTATAAAAAACGAAAGGGAGCTCACGTCAATAGATATAAACAATTCACCAAAGTTTTAAGCAAATTGGTTAAAGCGTTTTTGAGTTAATGTCCGACATGTTGACGACGGACGGACGGACAGACAACGGTATACCATAATACGTCCCGTAAACGGGCGTATAAAAATGGAAAATTTTAAATGAAAAAAAAAAGGAAAAAAAAAAAAATCCCTCCCCCCAAATTTTTTGAACCCCCTTATGATTCTTCACACCCAAACTCAATCCCAGCCTTCCCTTTGTGGTATGGTACCTTGCAGTACAATTTTAGAGAGATCCATACACTTGAACACAAGTTATTGTCTGGAAACTAGAAAAATGTGTTTCTTGGCCCCTTTTTGGCCCCAAATTCCTAAACGTTTAGGGCAATTACCCCCAAACTCAAACCCAGCTTTCCCTTTGTGATATGGAACCTTGTAGTACAATTTCAGAAAGATCTATACACTTACACACAAGTTATTGTCCTGAAACTAGAAAAATGCTTGTTTTTTGCCCCTTTTTGGCCCCTACTTCCTAAAATATTGAGGCAATTACCCCCATCATCTATCTCAGCCTTCCCTTTGTGGTATGGTACCTTGCAGTACAATTTCAGAGAGATCCATACTCTTGAACACAAGTTATTGTCTGGAAACTAGAAAAATGCTTTTTTTTGGCCCCTTTTTGGCCCCCAATTCCTAAACGTTTCGGCAATTACCCCCAAACTCAATTCCAGCTTTCCCTTTATGATATGGAACCTTGTAGTACAATTTCAGAAAGATCCATACACTTACACACAAGTTATTGTCATGAAACTAGAAAAATGCTTGTTTTTTGCCCTTTTTTGGCCCCTAATTCCTAAAATTTTGAGGCAATTACCCTCAAAATCAATCTCAGCATTCCTTTTGTGATATGGAACCTCGTGGTACAATGTCAGAGAGATCCATACACTAACACACAAGTTATGTCTGGAAGTTACAAAAATGCTTATTTTTGGCCCCTAATTCCTTTACTGTTGGTACCATAACCCCCAAAATCAATCCCAACCTTCCTTTTGTGGTATTGTACCTTGTGGTAAAATTTCATAGAGATCCATTCACTTAAACTAAAGTTAGAGTGCGAAAACCAATGTGTCTTCGGACGATGCCGGACGACGCCGTCGTCATACCAATATACGACCACAAAAATTTTTTTGCGGTCGTATAAAAAAATTACCTTAAAGCTTTATCAGTTGGTCGTATAAAAAAATTACCTTAAAGCTTTATCAGTTGCTATAAGTTTTGATGCAGTAGGCCTTTTAAAGCATTTTTTTAAAGTCATGTTTGATAAGCGTCAACAGCCATAATTTCAAGTAGGAGCACAAACCTATTATTTCCTCACATGTTGGTGCCAAATAATCATTTCCAGTATTACTGGATATATCTTAATGTCAAATTTTAATTTTTCTGTGCTTCTGCTTTGTCACAAATTCATGCTTTAAGTGATTTTTATAGTTTGTTCTTCTGTTGTTCTGTTACATGACTGTCTCAGGTTAGGGGGTGTGTTTGTGGCAGCAAACCAGTTTAACCCCAACACATTCTGTATGAGCCTGTCCCAAGTCAGGAGCCTGTCATTCAGTGGTTGTCGTTTGTTGCTGTATATCATATTTTTTTTGTTCATTGTTTTGTACATAAATCAGGCTGTTAGTTTTCTCATTTGAATTGTTTTTACATTTGTCTTTTCGGGGCCTTTTAGAGTTGACTATGCAGTATGGGTTTTGCTCATTGTTGAAGGCCAAACGGTGACTTATAGTTGTTAAATTCATGCCATTTGGTCTCTTGTGGAGAGCTGTCTCATTGGCAATCATACATCTTCTCCTTTTATATTTAATCAGTTCTGTGTAGAAGTGCTCAGCTATTTACCATTTGTATACGGTTGTATATGATGTGTGTGTGTATGCAATGTCTTATAGATCTATGTTTTTTGTTTTGCTATGGTGTATAGCTCAGTGGAACATTTAACATTTTTGGAATATTTCTATACTAATTCAAAATTAGACGTATCAAACTATCATAATAGATGTAATTTCAAGTATTTTTTTCAATGTTAGATGTACAAACCTCCTCCTACTGCTTCTACTACTACTTTTTGGTCTGTCTTCTACCAACTTGATTTTTCTACCATTAATTTCTGTATTGTCTAATTTATCCAAAGCTGCCTTCATATCCGAGTATGAGGAAAATTCAACAACACTGCAAAAGAATTGCATATCTACTAAACAATTCCCTAGAACCCTTTTCAAATGTCATTGTTTCACATGAATTATAGTTGTACATGCATTCCTTATTTTTCATTTCAATTTACTTGCAGGATGTCTTTTATGAGAGTGATATACATTGATGCACCAATAAACACTAACTAAAAGGTAGGTAGGTTAGCCCTCCACAAAAACTTCAGAAGACTGATGACATTTTTTTGTTTAAGTTAAAAAAAAAACAATGGAATACATGTTGGTTTACAGATAGTGGTCAAGTATTGATCCTTAAATAAAGCATACAGCTCAAGTTGTCAGATACAGTGTATTCATTGATGAATTTGGTTGATTAAGAAACCACTTCTTTAATTACCAGGAGCAAATTATTAAACCACAAATTAGGTCACCTTGTCGGCAAAATGTTCTAACCAAGAAATCCATTGCAAAGTAATAAATAAATCAACATTATGCATCTAGTAATCAAATTGTATGGACTTACCCTTCATTTTTATGCTGTTTGTGGGCATCAGCATATGTGACTTCTCCTGCCTGTCTCATGTAGTCTTTCAAATCCTTTTAAGTAAAGAGTAAAAAAAAGTTACATATTTACTTACAAAATTTAACTTTTTAATTTCCACATTACTTTGCATTATACCTACCTACCTACCATGCCTACATTTATACCTTGTTCTTGAAATTATTTCTGGTTTTATCAAGCTATCACTGTAAAGAGAAACTTGCAAGCATCCTGACTGCATATTGGGGAATGGGAACAACTATATTAATAGAATATTTTTGGTATGTGTTGAATTCAAAGCTCTCATGGAAGGCCAAATTTATGGTATCAATTCATATACTTGTGGTTGTAAGGCACATACAATTTTATGTAAAAAACTGTAAAATGCAGGACAAGTTTTAAGGCTGATTTGAAAAATGTTCAGAATCACAAAAATAACAATAATAATTACAATTGACACTTTAATAATACTTTTTTTTTTTATAATTTATGGAAACTAATTGTTATATTACTGCATATTATTTTTTTTTTTTTTAGAATTTGACATATTACACAACTTTTAAATAGGTTCCAAATCACAAATTGTCCAAATTTAATAAAAACATCCATTACATTGAAAATATTTGCCTCTGGCTATAAAGGAAACAAAAATCTATCAATCCATGACATTGATAAACATCTGTACACTAAAAAGCCTTACAAACACATGCCTCTACTTTCTTTCATGTTTTGTACATCTTTTAGCCATGATATTATTGATAATTCTTTAAAATGTTTCAACCAAGGATCCGGAAATTTTTCCAGACAATTTCGGTCATTTTGAGATGTTTGAAAAGTTGGTGCCCCTTTTCAAATTGTCGATATCAACTTGACTATATTCATAGCAACAACGAACATGACGAACTTGTATTGCTGTTTCATCGCATTTACTAAGTAAATGTCTTACCATTACCATGAAGGACAGTTTAGGGAATGCAACAGTCTAAAATTGAAATGATTTACATTGCTTACGTTTCTTTCGATTTGACAAAAGTTAAAACCTGAAGTTTGCGATATTTTAAAGTACGAATAATTCCGGATTCATTTTCGGGATTTGTTTTGTTTATCAAATTGACAGGAAATCACCGGCTTTTTATGGCTTTTTTTATTTTATTACCTTTAAAAATGTTTGAATATAACAGATAATAGTTGCACTCGTTTAATTTAGCATGAAATCAATTTGCATTTAAATGATTTTACGATTAAATATTAAATTTGCTGAAGACAATTTCAGGCATGCGTATTACATAGTAAATAAAGCACATGTGTAACTCATGAAAAAATACTTTTTTCTTCGTAAATTTAGATTTAATTTTTAAATCAGAATTGATAACTGTCTAAGTTGATGAAAAGTAAATAAATAATGAATGCACTTGTCAGGGAACTTTAATGTTTTAAAGACATTATTCTGAGCTTGTGATCACTGTCAGGTGTGAATTAAAACCACAGGTAAAAAGTGATTAGCGATCATTAGCCAATGTTTCCCGGAGGCATTGATATAGATATTAGGAGGGCCCTCAGGATTATCAAACTACTGTAGTGGCAGTTTTATTACAGGAAAGGGATTATAAACAAAAACAAGTGATCACAAGTGCAAAATGGCGATTAAGAAATCCGATTTCAAACATTGAGTCAATGAAATGACCGAAATTACTTCTGTAAAAAATAAAATTTGTCCTAAATCCCAATTACTCGTTTAGGACAAATAGTTTCATCTTAGGACATGACTGGCAAATATGACCGTTTCCGGACCCTTGGTTTCAACATTTTAAATCATTACTGGTATTATTAACACCTGGTTTGAAAATCCAATAGTTTTTAACTTTACTATTTCAGTGTACTCTTCATACATTAAATAGATGTTTATAATTTTATAACAGAATTACCTCTACTGAATAGAAACTGACATCGCCTGAGAGATTAATGAACCCTTGCTAGAGAGAGCATCAGGACTTCAAGTGTACTTCTGTTTATTTCATCATTACATTGCAGCAGTATTCTACCCTTTTTCTGAACATGGGAAGATAGCAAGAACTATCCAATCCGGATGTATGGATAGCTTTAGCCGACAGGCATTCATCACATTTTTTGTTTTCCAAAGATTGACCATGCTAGTCATGTAAAGCGTGACTTTCCCATCAGTGTAGGACCCTCTTTGTCTTCTGAAGGATGAACATCAAGCTAGCTAGACCCCCTCGTCTCACAGTCAACACATCATAAGCAAGAACAAGAGTGAATCACATTGAAGTAGCCATTCCTTGTGGCACTTTTGGGGAGGAAGCTGTGATTAGACTCTTCGTCCTTCATCATGCTCCTGCCACCTCACCTTTGAGGGCGCTTATGAGAGAAGACAATACTATTTAGGTATGAAACATAAATATGTAAAATGTCACAATCTGTATATTCCTTTAAAATATTGTAAATAAATGAAATCTGTATTTCTTCCAATTGAATGAAAGAAAACAATGTGACAAAAAAATTTATGAAATGAAGTTCAAAAGACTGATAAAATACCCTCTAAAAATAACGGCTATTTTTAATATCATTTAGTTAGAATATTTTTTGTGTCTTATTTGTGCTGAAGTTAAAAGGAATATACAGCAAGTGAAAAGGTGTTCAATTTTGTGTTGAACATTAATGATTTATTAGTTTCTGTCTTGGTTCATTATATAAATAAAGAGCAAAACAAGTTTGATTTTTTTTAGCAACGACTAAGGTCTAGTATCTTCATAATTTTTCTTTAGACTGTAAAATCTATTGAGAGTAAATAAAACCAGAGCATAGATAACATAAATAAGGATAAACATCAAGTATTTTTTTAAAGATATAAGATACATACCTGCCAACTAACTCTTGAAGAAAGGTTTTCTACAATTAATCTGTACTCCGTTCTTGTAGGTGGTCCATACCTGTAAAAGAATAAATACTATACTTCTTTGCTAAAAACATTAACTCTAGCATGCAGTTAAACATTGTCCATAATATTAATGTTCCTCTCACCCTATTTTTGTTGTTAAATCTATCATGATTAATCAATGCACTTCCAATTACTTTTGCTTCTTTGGATTCCACAAATTTTAATATTAACTAATTCTATATATCTGTGCATGATATTTTTGTTTTGATTTTAATAATCTGGTAGCTTTAATAGATTAAGCAAATTATATGTAGAAAAAACTGAATAATGGAATGGTTTAAATCTGAATATAATGAAATATTTAGGCCACACTATATTTTTAGAACAATATGAAGTTAGAATTCAGGCTATAAAAATTCAAAATTTTAGAATCTAAATAATTTATTGGTAAATTCTATGTTCATACAAAAAAAAACTAATGGTTATTCCAATATCAATTGTTTAGGATGTTGTACACCAATCATGTTTGCTTTTGAAAATATTACCCAGAGTCCATTAGTTTCAGCAATTGTGAATTATACTGAAATACAGACCCACATCCTGCAAATCTGTCAATACAACTCATGACTTCAATGTTTAAAAGAAAATGTCACTTCTTCCAATGAAGATCACCTGGCATGTCTTGCTCTTACAATTTCAATTACTTTGCATATTTTATGGTTGAAATATTTATTTAAGCATTTTTTTAAAATTCAGATTTTTAATTTTCATCAAGTACAATACCTATTAATAGGCTGCGACTCTTTTCACAAAAAATCTTACAATTAAAATTAATTTTAAGTTTTCCTGAAATGTATGACTTAAAAGTATTTCTACTCTTAAGATTTTTTGTGAAAAGAGTCACAGATTCCAAGACTTGATAGAAAATTATTTATAGTAAAACATTATTTATTTATTAATTCTACAACTGCCTTTAATTTTTATTGCAAATATCCTTCAGATGCTTTCATTTTATTACTGGTATAAAACTGTATAGATCCAGGTTTATTGCATGTTAATCTACCTTAATTATATTTTTACCAAGAAACTGACAGGTTCTTATATCTTGAACGTCCGAAGCATCATTTAGTTACATCAACATGGGAACATCTTAACTTCATTTGCAACATCAATAAAGGAACATCTTAATCGTCATTTGCATCATCAACAAAGGATCATCTTAATTGTCATTAGCAACGTCAACAAAGGAACATCTAAATCGTCATGTTGCTAATTTAACTAAGGAATCATCATTCTGTATCCCCAATTGAGGACAGTTTCATTTATACACTAAATGTTTTAATATTGGTTTTTTTTCACAACATCATGCTTCTGAGGAGATATCCATTCATCAGTACTTCCATGGATAAACTGATGAACCCTGACCGATGGATAGATATATTAATCAAAACTTAACAGTGCTGAGAGGTCCAACCATCTTAAATAACAGAATCAACAAGAAATCAAACCAAACAAAACTAACATTAAGGAATTTGAAAATCAAGGCATTTTCTATGCAACATATATAATACTGTACCTTTCAGCACTATTGTTGTTCTGTCCATAGCCCCTTCTATAATTATAATTCAAAAAATTCATTGTCAGATGATACCAAATTATGCATTAAGACTTAATGTAAACTTGAATAAGTCTATGAAAATTTGTAGTATAAAACTATGCACTTTTACATTTTTGAATAGCTGGTTCCCTGCACCAATTTATTTATATTGAAAAGCATATTTTTCCTAAAATATTTTAGTCTTTTATCTTATATTCATGAATCTCATTATCTCAGTATGGTAATAAATTTTATAATAAAAGTGAAAATTGTGAATAAGAAATTTTTTAACTATTTCAATTGATAATAAAATGCTCCGCAGGGCGCAGCTTGATACGACCGCAGAGGTCGAACCCTGAACAGTTGGGGGAAGTATGGACACAACATTCAAGCTTGATACAGCTTTGGATTTGGATTGTGATTAAATATTTGACACAGCATAGGTTTCTAACACAGATTGAATGTGGTCTAAGAACTTAAAAATTTTAAATTGGACATTCACCTATTATGGTCCAATATCCAAAATCTAAATACATGGTTAGATTCAGCATATCAAAGAACCCCAAGAATTCAATTTTTGATGAAATCAAACAAAGTTTAATTTTGGACCCTTTTGACCTCAATGTGGACAAAGTTGATAACGGGGCCCAAAAATCAAAAATCTAAATACATGGTTAGATTCAGCATATCAAAGAACCCCATATATTCAATTTTTGTTGAAATCAAACAAAGTTTAATTTTGGACCCCGATTTGGACCAACTTGAAAACTGGGCCCATAATCAAAAATCTAAATACATGTTTAGATTCAGCATATCAAAGAACCCTAAGAATTCAATTTTTGTTAAAATCAAACTAAGTTTAATTTTGGACCCTTTGGACCTTAATGTAGACCAATTTGAAAAAGGAACCAAAATTTAAGAATCTAAATACACAGTTAGATTCGGCATATCAAAGAACCCCAATAATTCAATTTTTGATGAAATCAAACAAAGTTTAATTTTGGACCCTTTGGACCTCAATGTGGACCAATTTAAAAACGGGGCCCAAAATCCAAAAACTAAATACACGGTTAGATTCAGCATATTAAAGAACCCCATGAAATCAAGAATAAAACCCCATTGAAATTGGTCAAGAAATAAGCAATTTATAGGAAGTATCTTCTTTTGCACAATCCTGTGCTATTAAATATTTCTTGCTATTGCGCAATACTGTACAATTGACAATTTCTTGCTATTGCGCAATATTGTGCTATTGGATATTTCTTGCTATTGCGCAATACTGTGCAATTGAAGATTTCTTGCTATTGCGCAATACTGTGCAATTGAAGATTTCTTGCTATTGCACAATACTTATTATATAATAATTTACATATCCTGTTTGGTGTGTATCTCCTACCATATCATTATTATTTGATTTTTAATATAAATCAGAAATAACCAACTTAAAATGAAAAATTTTAAAAGAAACAAAAAAGGAAAAAAAGAAAAAAAAGGAAAAAAAAATAAATCCCCCCCCAAAATTTTTTGAACCCCCATTATGATTCATCACCCCCAAACTCAATCCCAGCCTTCCCTTTGTGGTATGGTACCTTGCAGTACAATTTCAGAGAGATCCATACACTTGAACACAAGTTATTGTCTGGAAACTAGAAAAAAATGTGTTTTTTGGCCCCTTTTTGGCCCCAAATTCCTAAACGTTTAGGGCAATTACCCCCAAACTCAAACCCAGCTTTCCCTTTGTGATATGGAACCTTGTAGTACAATTTCAGAAAGATCCATACACTTACACACAAGTTATTGTCATGAAACTAGAAAAATGCTTGTTTTTTGCCCCTTTTTTGGCCCCTAATTCCTAAAATTTGGAGGCAATTACCCCCAAAATCAATCCCAGCATTCCTTTAGTGATATGGAACCTTGTGGTACAATGTCAGAGAGATCCATACACTAACACACAAGTTATGTCTGGAAGTTACAAAAATGCTTATTTTTGGCCCCTTTTTGGCCCCTAATTCCTTTACTGTTATTACCATAACCCCCAAAATCAATCCCAACCTTCTTTTTGTGGTATTGAACCTTGTGGTAAAATTTCATAAAGATCCATACACTTAAACTAAAGTTAGAGTGCGAAAACCAATGTGTCTTCGGACGACGACGACGATGACGGACGACGACGACGACGCCAACGTCATACCAATATACGACCACAAAAATTTTTTTGCGGTCGTATAAAAATTTGATATACATGTTCCATCTTTTTCTCTAAACTATAAAATATAGATTATAGTCAAATATTTGCCTTTTTTTTATGATCCAAAACCGATTCAATCAATATATTTAAACATCTTTTTTCCATTTAGATTTCAAATCATCATCAAAACATAATCATTATCATAAAGCTAAATCTCAACACGATGCATGTCATTTTAAGTGAAACATTATTTTTCATGCCGATAAAAGTCGTCCATTTCATTTTAGAAAATCATTCAGAAGCTTTTAAGATTGAGGTTTACATTTTCATGTTAACAGTATAAAGCTGATCAGAAACTACCCTCATTAAAGTTTTTACCAAGAAACTGACAGGTTCTTTTAATCTTGAACATCTGAAGCATCATTTAGCTACATCAATGTGGGAACATTTTAACTTCATTTTCTACATCAACTTGGGAACATCTTAACATCATTTGCTACATCGACATGAGAACATCCTTACTTCATTTGCTACATCAACTTGGGAACATCTTAACATCATTAGCTATATTAACACGGGAACATCTTAATCATCATGTTGCTACCTCATCTTAGGAATCATCATTTTGATACACCAATTTGGGAACATATTAAACATCAATTTGCATCTTCAACATCTAAACATCATTCTGTATCCTTAATTGAGGACAGTTTTATTAATGCACACAATGTTCATTATTTTTTCACATCATGATGCTTCTGAGTAGATATCCATTGATAGGTACTTCCATGGATAAACTGATCAGCCCTGATGGATGGATAGATATATAAATCAATAACCAACAGTGCTGAGAGGTCCCACCATATTTAACAACAGAAATACAAAAAAAAAAGACAAACAAAAGGACTAACAATAAGGAATCTGCTTACAAGAGCCAATAATTTTCTATGTAAAATATATAATACTGTACCTGTCAGCACTGTTGTTCTGTCCAAAGCCCCTTCTATTACTATAATTCAAAAGAAGTCATTGTCAGATAATACCACATTATTCACTAACACTTAAGATTAAAGGCAATCTTTTACACTTGTTATACATTGTATCTTTGAAAATATGTAGTTTTATACTACATTCTATTAGTTTCTTTTTTTCCTTCTTCAAAAAACATGGAATATTAGTCAAGATCTTGCAGTATCTGAAAATATTTTCCTGCTTAAGACTTTATTATGTTGTAAAATCAGATTTTTTTCCAAAAATGTTTTAGTCTTGTATTTAAAATTCATGTTTCGAGTATGGTACTTTGTCTTTTAGTAAAAGTGAAATTAATGAAATCTCAGCTGACATGTCATGAAATCTCTAGTATTTTAATTGATTAGAATCTCATTAAAATGGTGTTTTTCACTACAATATAAAATATAATTTTTTAACATCATCAACAAAATGCTTTGCCTTGAAGAATTGTGGACAATTTATGCACATCCTACATGTACATACTATATGACCTCAACATAAACAAGTGATAAGATTGATTGATTTTCACCTTCTTAATGTCTAGTGTCAGTTTATATTTCAAGCAAATGTAGGACAATATATATACATATACAACCTATACACAGTGTTCTCCCCAGGCCCTTAAAGGACCGCGGGCCCGCGATGTATAATTTTTTACCGTGGTGGTATCGTTCTTACCACGATGTATAATTTTTCTCTGTGGTGCTAAAATTTTCAGTTAAAAAATCGTAAATCGGTAAAGTTTTGAACGACTTGTTAAATCTTTTCCGTGCGGTATAAAATTCCAGGTGAAATTTGAACAGTTCAACACAGATTGTTTACACCACGTGGTTGATTTACCTTATGAGGTTAACCTTGTTGATTGGATTTTATTGATGTAATTAACACTTGTAACAAGATTATTTTGTGTTTTAATCAAGAGTTCATAACTTTATGATCACAGATAACTATTTTATGGCTTCACTCTCCACCCAAGCACTGACCTGTGACAAGTTGGCAAATACTTTGTACACAAACAGTGTCTTGACCCGATAGGTACATTTTTTGAACATCATAATGGTGGCTCATTACGTATAATGGACAACTATACATTTCCCAATTCTTATATTATAGTATTATATGTCTCTGATTAAACCATGGCCAATATAATATTATCTTTAATTATGACATAGTTATTGCATGATAGTCGGGTTTCAAACTGTAGTATCTGTATGTACATATCACATGACCCAGTTTAACAGTTCACGTAGAATATTCAAGTTTATTTACAATAAATTGCAATCTATTATATTTTATAAATAAAATGCATGACTGTACCTTCAAACTGGATATCTATATCCATAATTAATGAATAACAGAAGTAATCTTGCAAATTTCATCCATAAGCACATGTTAAATCTATTTATATCTACTTCCTGTCATTTAGGCGGGAAAATAGGGAGACTTAGTTGTTGACATTGAATATGGTTACTTATAGATCTATAGACCAAAGATAAATTTATAGATTTAGGAATTCTTTTTAAATGGTTCATGACAAATAAAGATTTAGATTTTAGGGCAGTATTAAGTCTGTATCTATGTTTGATTATCACCAAAGACAAGAAAGGTTAATATTTACATGAAGTCTATGGCAAAATGTTCTAAAATTTATGAAAAATTTCTTTTTATTAAAATCTAAGATAGAAACTGGTTCAAATAATAAAACAATATTTGAAATTGTTCTTGTTAATTTTATATCTTCTTATGACAGGAATCCTTTCACATACAACAACCTTTTTTTCTAGAAACTAGAAAGTTTTTTAAATTGAACATTTTTGTTCTCTTTTGAATGATATTTTATTTTTATTGATTTTGGATTTTATAAAAGATTTAATTACTTTAAATTCAGATGAATATTTAATTATGAATCATTACTGTAAATTCAGAAATTATTGCGATGTTTTTATTATTGCGAAAAATGCGACAGGGTTATAATCGCAATAATTTAAACACGCACTTTGAAATTTTTTATATGAATTAAACAGGATTTTTCTCAATATCGCTAAAATGACAAAATCGCAATAATAAATGCACGCAATAATTTCTGAATTTACAGTATTTATTTTAAAAAAATATTAAAGTATACAAACTGTTTTTTTATTTACTTTTTTTTTACCAATAATTTTCTGAATCAATGTCTACATAACACAGTACCACAGTGTTGAAACAAAACAAGAGACATAAAAACTACAGTAACTAGTCTAAGAGCTAAGCGACACGACGCGACACAACTGATTGCATGAAATATTTCACCAAGAAGTCCACACGCATACCCTGGTGCTATCCAAAAATCCTGGGGAGAACACTGCTATACACAGTATATAAAAATATTCAGGGATGTTAGAAACTTACTCATCCTTTATCATGTTATAATACAGAGAACTCAATGAAGACCTAACAGAAATTAGAAGTAGCATACTGTTAAAATTAATGCTTCAACATTGCAAGTGACTGTACAAAAAAATGCTCTCCCAAGGTAAGCTGATCCAAATTACTATTTCTCTAAACATTAATTGTTCACTGCTTTGGTGGTAGAAGAGGTATTCTGAATGTTATACTGTAAATTCAGAAATTATTGCGAGGTTTTTATTTATGCGAATAATGCGACTTGATGAGTATCCCAATATTAAACTCACACTTATGTCAATTATTTACAAATCGCAGTAATAAATGCATGCAATAATTTCTGAATTTACAGTACTTAAACCCAATTTTTATTGTTTTCATCTAAAATACATTGCCTTGAACTAGTATTACAATGAAACACTTTGTGGATTAAAAAACTTCTTTAGTCATAAGGTATAGGAATTAAAGACAAAGCATTGGTTGATGAAGTTTGTCCAACCGTTAAATACAACAGATTTCTGATTGTCATGCAGCACTGAATTTTGTCTTACTTATCTCTTCCTCCTCGTCGACTACGCGGTGGAGGATAGTCCCTAAACCCCCTATCTCTACCACCATCACGTCTATCATCACCTCGGGGAGCTCCACGAGCATGCTCAACAGTACATCTGAAACAATATAAATCTAAAATAAATTTGGCCCTTACTTTGTCATCCATGAAGGTCGCCTTGAATTCCCAGAGTTCCCATAATCCCTTTCACGTGAATAGTTACTGTTCCTATTTCGCGAGGTGCCACGAGCATGTTCTAAACTTATTCTGTAAAAATCAAACAATACATATTCATATATTATCTTCTTTCTTTCCTTTTTAAGAAACAATTCTGCTGAGAGTTTTGTAGGAAAAAATACTATTTTTATCTGTCTTTTTTTTAAGTACATGATCATTTATATAAAAGTGATTTCAACTAAGGATTAACATAAGTTTTGCCTTAAAGGTAATCAATAATTTCCAATCGAATGAAAACTATATCTAAATTAATTAAATAAATAAGTTATGATTTTACAATTTTTGGATTTAAAATTATAAAATTACCAATTATACACATTGAAATTTGCAAACTGCCTTTTCTCAAGGTAAAAAAAAAAAACATTTTACGTTATTAGCAA